GATAGTTTTTGTTGCATAACACTACAAAAGGTACATTAATCAGAATCAGAATCAGAAACGGGTTTATTGCCAGGTAGGTGCACACATACGAGGAATTTGACTTGATGTCATGGTGCATACATAAAATATAAAACAAACACTCTCCATATAAAACAAAAAATCTTTAAGGACACTGTAATAAAATATAGTTAGATAGCAATAAAATAAAGCAGTAATTTACAGCGAAATAGAATGCAGTGAATTATAGAATATAAATATTAAGTACTGAACATCTCATGATTCATAAAATAGAAATCACACAATTAACAGATATACTCCAAAGGATTGAATGTGCAAATTATTGCAAAATGCATTGATTGCATGGATTCAATGAAAAAGTCTAAATAAATTCCTTTACATTTACAATTTACAGCTAAACATAAACAATGCAGCAAAACTTTAATTGATGACGTAATCGGGTGGCAGTTTTCAGCAGTCTGACTGACACTGAGGCCCCGGCTCCATGGGAACGCATACGGCAAAACGCATCGGAGTAACGCAAACGCAACCGCAAAAAAGCTTCCGCCCACTCGCCGGTCAACGTGTGTTAAAGTTGAAATCTTCCGGACAAAATTATAAAAGTGCCGGTCAAAGGTCTTCTTTGTTATTTATTGAGCTTTAAAACAAATGAATAACGACGATATAATGATATATAATAATAAAATACACGGAGCCTGTCTCTTTTTCCTCTCTTCTGACAGCGTCAGTGTCTGTGTCATGCAGCAGCTGATCCTGTAATGAGTGACCCGACAGTAAAAATGAACATATTTATAACTAGTTTAGGTAGTTTGAGAGGTAATTAAAATAGCTAAGGGTGATGATCTGACTTGAAGTGTGTGTTTTGCTCCCGCTGCATCACAGCGGCAGGAGCTGCGTGTCTCCGTCCTGTCAGATTAGACTTCACTCGCGTTTATGTCCATATCGAGATAAAGATAAATAATCTGAATTCAAGGAGGAGCTCCTGTAGATGTTGCACAAAGAACTGTAGCATGGTCAGTAGCGACTGGAGCACGATAGCAACCCTGCGGGGGAGAGGCGGGGAGAGGCGGGGCTATGAAAACGAATGACCGTATAGGCGACTCCACGGCCCCGTTGGACCCCCCAGAGCGCTCCGTTCCCAGATCTATCCACCTTTGGACCCGTTGTCGTTTGCGGGGTCCGTTTCTACGTTTCCCTTACGGCGTCGTCGAGCTTAGAGGGCTATACGCATGAGAAATATGCGGATTCAACCCGTTTTCTACCCCGTGGAGCCGGGGCCTCTGTCTCATGCAGCAGCTGATCCAGTAATGATGACTCGACAGTAAAAATAAACATATTTATAACTAGTTTAGGTAGTTTGAGAGGTAATTAAAATAGCTAAGGGTGATGATCTGACTTGAAGTGTGTGTTTTCCTCCCGCTGCATCACAGCGGGAGGAGCTGCGTGTCTCTGTCCTGTCAGATTAGACTCATTATCAGCCGGAACGGGCCGTCGTCAGGGGGCCGCAGAAAGCAGGGTCGCTGTGTTGCGACGTGGGGACGGGCGTGAAAAACCCGGAGGTCCCCAGCAGGGAGGAGCGCCGCCCGGCCGCTGGCGAAGGCACAGCGGCGGCGGGTACGAAGCCCTCGGTAGGAAGGAGCCGTGTCCCCGGGAGGAGGGAGCCGTGGACAGGGGAGAGGCCAGACGGGGCGCCGTCGAGGCGAACCGTGAGCCGCGGTTAGAGGTGAGGCCAGGCAGGGTCCCGAAGCGCGCCACCCACGGGCCGATGAAGGCGTGTGTGACGTCCGAAACCGCCGAGGCGAGGGAAGAGGCGAGACGGGGTCCAGAAGCGCGCCACCCACGGGCCGAAGAAGGCGTGTGTGACGTCCGAAGCCGCCGTCGAGGTGGTGAAACAGCGAGAGGGTCCACACGAGGCCGACCAGACATGGTCGAACCTCCTCTCAGGCACCAGAAAAAGCTCAAAAAGGGTCGTCCCGTCCACGATCAAAAACAGGTGGGCGAAATAGCGAGAGGATCCACGCGAGGCCGACCAGACATGATCGAACCTCCTCTCCGGCACCACAAAAAACAAAAACAAAAAAAACAGTCGGATGTTGATAGCCGCTGGTAGCTGCTAGTCGTTAGCTGTTGCTAGCTGTCGTCGATAGCCGTCGGTAGCTGCTAGCCGCCAGCTGTAGTGGCTAGCTGCCGTTAGCCGTTGGTAGCTGCTAGCTGGTAGCAGTCGTGGCTAGCCGTTCTCGACGGCCGGTAGTCGCTGTCGTCGTCGTCGTCCCCGGAGCCTCTGCTAGGCGGCGTGCCCCCACCAGGGAAGGTGCTGCAGCGTGCAGTGGCAAGCACCTCAGGGGGAAATCGCGGGGCGGCCAGGAGGAACCGGCCAGCATCTTCGGCCAAAGCGCGGGGCTCAACACTAGCCGAGTTAGCTAGCGCAGCATGGACATGCAGCCGCATGTCCCGAAGAACCAGCTCCACGAGGCAGAAGTCGGGTCCCTCCATACCTAGCAGGTCGTGCATCGTCCCCTCGTAGCAGGAAGGCCTGCTGCCCTCCAGCGCCGAGACGAAGCGGGAATGGTGAGCGACGTTCCCAGCCATTCCGTGGGGCGCACCGAGCCTCAGTCTGTGCGCACGAGGCAGCCACGGAGGTCTCCAAAAATCTCCGGCATTTCGAGAAAAACAAGAGTTTTCTGCCGTGTTCGGTTCAGTCTCGGAACCTTCGCGAGAATCACGTCAGGGTCACCAATGTAGTGCCGAGAGAAGGGAGACGGAGGCGGTACATCGGAGGTGCAAATCTCACTTTATTGAGCAGCAGAAATTGACATGCTGTCGGGTCGCAGCCGCAGAAGAGAAGAGAAAGTGAAAGGGAAACACACACAGTAGGTACCCCGGAGGTACCGTCAACATATATGTCCGGGCGGAAACAATACCCCCAACCTGTAGTTCCTGGATTGAATTATGTAACCCCGTTAATTAGTGATCACTACAACACTATGAAGTGATGGCAGAGTGTCAATTCAGTTTTAGGGTGGATTTTTCCGAATAAGCCATGCGCCCATAGACTGTATATAAAGCATGCGCCTCAAACCTGTCACGTGGAGATGGCTCCCCCTCGTGTTCAAACCATATGTCAGAGTCGTTGCACATCTTTAATGACTCAAAGCATTCAGTCTAATTCAAACCTTGATTAGTCCAATAAATGCATACACATTATGTTCAGTTTATGTAACCTTTTGATCGAAACAAATAATAACTGTGAATTGATAACATACGACTTAATTTAGGACTACAACGACATGCAAAATAATTTTCCTGCACAGAAAGATGCAAATGTATGCAATCCTAACAATGGCAGTTGATTGTTCATACACAATAAAAATACCATACACTGCATCTGCACGTGCACAGAATTGAGAATGAATATAACAGACCTTTTTCACACTTCTCTGACTTGTCATACTACACAAACATAATTAAAACACATGATATACGTTTAATCTGTTATTTAATATGTGTTATGTAAATATGTAAATGCATAGACTGGCCAACATTTAGCACAATTATTGTATAGCGTCATTTGTTTGAAATGCCCTTTGCTACAGCACAGTGGTTTCCAACACAAGGGGTCACAACTAGGTAAGAAATAAGTAACGCATATTGTATTTTTCAGACAAAAACACATTTGACCTCTTCAGACCACTGAAAATAATTTAAATCCCATGTTATTTGTATAGAAACGACAGAAATATATACTATCAATTATTGTACCAAAGCACTCTCAATTAAAATTACAAATATCTACAAATGTAAAATAAGATAGAGAAATCAATTAACAGCATAAGATGAACAGTATATAAAGGAGGTCCGTAACATAAGTAGTCCATTAACTAGCTATATTTCATATGAAAAATGTAATTGACAAATTAAGCTGACGTAAAACGGTATACAGAATACAATTCTGCAAATAAAACAACATTAATGGAAGATCACTCTTTAATTGAATGCTCACATATTGTTAACCGCGTCATAGTCATCTATTCATACTTGGAAAACTTTTTTCCTTCTCTTTATGTCAGTTATTTTTTCCCATGTTGAGTTTTTGCTAGTTACGTTTTGGGAACAAAAAAGGATAAATGAAATGTATTGTTAAACTGATACAACTTCAAAACATCTGACTTTCATTTAAAAGCCCTTCCAATATATTTGGAAGAATATGGGGTCTATTCTTCCAATTCACTATGAGGTTATTTCCTACTCATTCCAGATTAAAGGAAATTAACTGGTTTAAAGTGGAATACATATTATGGTTATTTTTTGTATGGCCTAGTTGAAATGCTGGTGTACTGACTTGTCTATTATTGACATGTTTATTATCCGATGACAGTTTTTTTTTGGTAATGGTTGTTGTGTTATTTAAGTTTTCTCAGTCTTTGTTTTTTGTTGTTTAGAAGTATGTCAATTGTCCCTTTTAGAATGTCTTTGTATAAAAGGTAAGATACACCTTTTAATTTTTTTTAAATGCTCTGATGATGCAAATGTATGTTCATAAAACCCACCTATAGCAAAAATTCAGAAACATGTTTTTACCAGACGAACGCCTTCTTCTCACACATTCCTCTCCTGTCATCCATGCCATTTTTGACCTCCATCCCCATCTTTTGTACCCCATTTTGCAGTAGCCTCTTTTTCCCAGCGCTTTATTCTCTCCTTCTCTCTGCCCTGTTCCCCTCAGTTTCCCAGCAGCTCACAGTGAATTAGATCTCACCCACTGCTCCCTCTTTGTGTCCATGATTTCTCTCCATGTTCGTCCCTTCAAACTTTTCGGCCCATCTCTCTCTGGCTGAGAACTGATCTGATGCCCCATGTGTCAGAGTGGAGCCAGCAATGCAACATCCAATCTCTCGCTGTTTAGCAGAGCTGTGGACGGTGGGATCACTGGACCTAGTTGGTATCCCCCCCTACCCTCTCTTTCTCTCTCCCTCTCTCTCCCTCTCACTTGCTCCTCATCTCCCTGTTCACTTTCATTCATTTCTGTGTATGGGCAAGAAGGGCTAACATGGACTCTTTGGGTCTTTGTATCCTTCTTATGCTTCTGTGTTTCCAGTGGACGACGGCCCCTGCTGCTGGTAAGCTTTTTCATCTACGAAATAATCAGCGTCATGTTAGATAGTTTTGTTTTGATGTTGTGGATTTGTTTGGGTGTTACGATGTGAGTACTAGTTGTTGGACTTGAGTTCTTGAGCACTTTAATTGAACTGTAATGATGTTAGGAGCAGCAGTAGATAAGAAGTGATGAAAGTCTTACATATTATAGAGTGATTTGAAATATATAATATTTGTTGTGATGCGTTAAAATGTTCTTTGTTGAAAATCTATTTTGAACCACAGTGAACTTTAAATGGCTGAAAGATAAACGTTTTTCTGAAGTTTTTTCTCTTTTTGTTCTTTTTCAGAGGAAATTACCTGGACCTACACTGGTGAGTTCAAGTTTATTTGTAGCACCACAACTTGTGCAAAGGAACTTCAAAGGTGTAGCAGAGAGTGATAAAAAAAGGCATAGAAAGTGCAAGATGATCTGGGTGCATTTGACATATCTCAGATATAATGAATCATTTAGGACTGGACTATTAAGAGCTTTATAGAGCAGGAGCAAAATCCAAACGTCATGGATAGTATTTTATACGATAGATTTCTGTGTCTCCTAATTCAGGATGATTTGCGGTAATGTAGTCTGCTAATAACAAAGACCTGCACACGTTCACTTAAAATAAGTGCTGCTATCCAATGAATAAGGAGTCTTTGCAAACATTAAAATTATCATCAAATCTTCTGTAAGTTGGGTAGGATTTGTGTTTTCCCCCTCATATCTCCCGACCCCTGCCCCTCTGTTTTCCTCTCCTTCTCTCTCTGTCTGTATTAGTTACAGTTCAACAAGCTGGCACGAGAAAAGCAGCCACAGAGAGATGATGAAGGGGAGGAGGGAGATAGAGAGGAAGAAAGCGAGGAAAAGGCACGGAGTGAGAAAGGCGGAGGGAGGCAGGTGCACGAGGATGAGGGTGTCGCACAGAGAGAGGGAGATGGGACGGGATGAAGCTAAAGCATAGCATGACTTCTGACTTTTCCGTGTGTTCTATTCTTATTTTGTTTTTTAAGTTATATCTGTTGTAATTTATTGTCGTTTATTGTGTTTTGTAGTAATGTGTTTTTTATTACATGTACAGCACTTTGGCTCGACCAAAAATCGCTTTTAAATGTGCTTTATAAATAAAACCTGATTTGATTTGATTTGAGTTGTGTGTGTGTGTGTGTGTGTGTGTGTGTGGTGTGTGTGTGTGTGTGTGTGTGTGTGTGTGTGTGTGTGTGTGTGTGTGTGTGTGTGTGTGTGTGTGTGTGTGTGTGTGTGTGAGCGTGTGTGTGTGTGTGGGTGGTGTGTGTGTGTGTGGTGTGTGTGTGTGTGTGTGTGTGTGTGTGTGTGTGTGTGAGCGTGTGTGTGTGTGTGTGTGTGTCCTTGCCTGTATTCAGGACAGAGATGGCATGCCAGGAGAGGTAGAGCAGGGACAGGGGGGCAGAATTTTCGGCCTCCAGTTACCATGGAGACATCCATGGCGACCTGTGGCGGGGCCGCGGGACTCACTCTTGTCGTGGGTCGGGGCTTTGCTGTGGAGAGCAGTGAGGGGCAGGGGGGAGAGGCAAGATTAGAGGGGCAAGTGGGGAGGAGATGTGGTATGTGTTCATATCACTCATGTAAAGTCCCCTCCTCACATTGTGTGTGTGCAAACAATGAGCCATGGCTTTCAAACACTGTATAGTCCATACATGCATTGTGGGGTCAAATGCATGCCTGTTATGAACTCTAAAATATGCAAAATCTGCGATCACTAATATATGTTTTGAGATGTTTTTAGCACACTACTGACATTTTGGTGTTGTCTGTTTTCTAAAGCATTCCTCTCCTTGCCATTGAAATTCACCTTCTTTGATTCAAATGTCACTCTCTTTTTCTTTCAGACTCTTTTTTAAACCTTCTTTGATCATGCAATTGGGGAGACTAGTTTCTTTTTTTGTTCTGTGAATAAAAGGACCTGAATATCTTCTCTCCCTCATTCACCCCCTATAACACTTCTCTGTCCAATCTGCAATTCAATTAATATTAATCTTCACCACGTCAATTGGTGCATGATAATTAATACAGCATATTTTGCTATATAAGTATACAGAAGTATGCAGTATACACTAGTACATTAGACATTAGTGTTATATAGCAGAGGACCTGTTATATGCTGTTGATTCTTAACCATTCAATCTGTATAGTGATTCATATTTTGAATCTTGAAATTTTCTAAATTTAACATTTTTCCTTTGATTTTCAGCAGACTTTTAAGATGGTTGAGAACCAAAATAATTCATATTTTCTTGTGTTTATACATGAAATTGGAAAAATACATTTTTAAAAAGGTCAACATTAATTAGAAATCTTACAAATCTGGCTATGTGGGATTTCATTTGCAGTACATAATTTTAAATTTTTTAAAATAAATGTAAAATTAAACAAATATTCAATGAAAGAAGGAACCTTATTAAAATAATATAATACATTAGTAATACATAATAATAACATATTAAAAAGGAAATACATTTTGGGAGTTGGCCCAATAGCCGTAGCGCCACTTTCCTGACGTCAGTAAAGTGTTCAAATCTGGATCAGTTTTTATCAGATCCGTTGCAGCCCCTTTTTTAGAGATTTGGGTATGGAGGAAAATAGAGAGGGTTGTGTTTTCTGACACTTGGTGAGTTCCCTGGAACACCGGGGACACATATTCATGTAGAAAAGACGTACAAAAGTGCATTTTGCATGATAGGTCACCTTTAAACCAATGCTCACATGATTGTTACAATACTCGACTTTGACCTATGTGTCCGAGAGAGAATATCATTTAATGGCTGACATCATTTTTAAAACTGGGTACAGCTGAACGTCACCACACAGACCATGGCATTATCAAAATGTCACATAGTAAAATAATGAAAGCTTTCTTTAATTAATTTAATGTGCTGAGGCAGCCAAGCATATGAGGCACTCACTTTTTTTTTAGGCCAAGTGAAAATCATTTTTGATACAAAGATAACTAGGATTTTAACATACACTACGGTGCCTTGAATGCTTTTCAGACTGCAGGACATTCTTATTCGACTTGCCTACATGTCCTATCCTGGAAGAGAACCTGATTTATTACATTCACATCACAAACTATTTGACCCAGTACAACACACCCTGTTTTTCTTTAACTATATTTCCCTATTGATTCGACAATGACACAATTCCACTTTATAACCAAATAATTCTAATACGCAACTCCATGGATTCCTCTTACTTTTTTCAGTTTTTCCAAATACATTTAACTCAGACACAAATAAGCCTATACCTTACTTGAAGATCCTATAGAAGCAAATACCTATTAACCTATTGTCAAAACACAATGCTTAACCCTATTGGAGACATCTTTGCTAATATAACTGTCACTGATGTTACTGATAAATTGTTTAGTTTGTTTATTTTTTGGTGTTTCACTTGAAGACATTTTCTGCAATTTCTTCAGTTGCTTCGTAAGTTTAACTGACAAACCGGCTTTGTGGCTCACATGTTGTGTGCCACAAATACTCTCACGTAAAAATTGTTGTCATTGTTCAGAACTAGAGAACACAGGTGGGAAGAAAACGAGTTAAAACGTGAAAGCATGAGATAAAAGTAGATTTTCTTTATTAGAAATGTAATATTGTATTCTATTTTGTTTTTATTGTGGCTCTATAGTTAAAGTACGACTTTTTAAGACAACATTTAAGTGACATGGGTTTCACAATCAGCAGCAGTAAGTTTCCAGCTCTGTGGATTTATGGTCATGTAGCACCTTCCCCCTCTACTTAAGGTTACTACAGAGTGAACTCACGGACCCACCCATGCATTGCTGTATGCAAACATGTCAATATGTATATTCCACACACACACACACACACACACACACACACACACACACACACACACACACACACACACACCTTAACTGTCTTGCATTTATATGTATACATTTAATTATCTGTTTGTAAATGACTTACTTTTTATCTTATGTTATTGTTGTTATTCGTAATCATCATCTGTACTATCCTGTGTTTACTTCTTATTTTATCGCTGCTATGACACCTGAATTTTCCTACAGTGATTAATTAAGATCTTTTTTTTATCTCAATCTTGATATGTATTGGTATTTTCTCTCCTAGTAAGACTGTAATCACATGTAGTGTAGCAATGCTGGATTTTACTGGTATTTTCAAATAGGACATTTCCGATTAAAGAATGAGTAGCAGTGGAGGCTTCTAAGCCCGTCCAATTTTAGGGTGAAGGATTTTTGTCATTGTATCTTTTAGTTAGAATTAAGATCGCTACCTCCAAATGTAAGTGACAAAGATTTTACAGTTATGCAGCAGGTCTGTTTCTAGCTCTGCGATGTGGGGTCATGAAGCAGCTTGCCCCTCTTCCTAAGGTTACAGAGTGAACTCACCAACCTCCCATGCATTGCCGTATGCAACCACTACATGTCAATATGTGTAGACCACACACACACATACACCTTATCTGTATTGGTACATTTAGCTTCTTAGTCTTCCACCTTATGTTATTGTTATTTTTCTTATTCATACTGCTACTTACATGTTAATTCTTTTTTTTTTTTTTACTTCCTATCCTTGTGTGACCTCATCTGTCCTTTCCCGTGTTTCACTCCTATTCTGTTACTGAATACCTATTATTGAAAACCTGAATTTCCCAACAGCGTGCAATAAAGTATTTTTTATCTTACTCATCATATGTATTTACTCTCCTAGTAAGTTATATGGCTAGATTTGACTGGTATTTTTAAATATGAAATGTCAGATTAAAGAATTAGGAGTGATGGAGGCCTCTTAACCCGTCCAATGTTAGGGTGAACGATGTTTCGTCAATGTGTCATAAATTAAGATCACTACCTCAAAATGTAAGTCACAATGGTCTTACAATCATGCACCAATCAGTTTCCAGCTCTGGGATGTATGTTTGTGAAGCACCTTCCCCCTCTACTTAAGGTTACTACAGAGAGAACTCACCGACCCTCCCATGCATTGCTGTATGCAACCACTAGTCAATATGTATGGACGACACACACACACACGCATTATCTGTCCCATAATGGTATTATGGTATTTTCTCTCCCAGTAAGACTTTAATCACAGGTCGGTTATAATGCAGGATTTTACTGGTATTTTTAGATGTGAAATGTCAGGTTAAAGCATCAGGAGTGGTCAAGGCCTCTAAGCTCCACACATGACAAAGTCAGGGAAGAAGGGGCTTCCCATCCCCCGCTATACATACAACATACATGAACCCACTGCACTCACTCTTCAACACGTGCACACTCTCACACACACACACACACACAACAACAAGCAATGCCCTTGTTTGAATGACATGACCTTTCTTTGAGCCTTGCTCAACAGCAGGTGAGCAAAGCAGGAATTCTTATTGTCCAAAAACATGAATGCTTAACCTTGGGTAATAGTAAACCAAGGAAGAGGGTATGTGTTTGTGTATATGTGTATGTAACAGGGTCCAGGTCAATAGAAAAAGCTCTCCCACCCCCACAGCATTCCTCTCAACCTATTGAACCTACTCTGAGTTCATGGGTGTTGAAGACCACCCCCACCATTCCCATCTTCTTTTCGTCCCATCCCCCACCTGGTTTGTTATTTGTGTCACTATGCTTCTCGTTATACCTTCTCCTTGTATTGACATGCTTGGCAATATAATTGTAGTCAACTTGACAAAAAAGAGAGAAATGGAGGAAAAACATTGATACAGTTGTAACCATGAATTACTATCTGTCTTACAATAAATAGAAAAGATAAATAAAAAGGAGTGAACATCAAACCGACGCCTATGGATGGTTATTTTTTCAATGAAGTGGGTCAAAGTGCACTGCTTCAAACTGGCCTATAATATTGA